TGGACATTTCGTTGGACGGTTACTCGAGTTTTATAACTCTTGCCGCAAATCGTTACACAGTATTGACTTTAGGAGAGGCGCTTTTCTTCGTTTCTTTCGGAATCGATGGAATTCCTTGAAAATTGAACGTTCGATCGATTTTTGTAATGGATTGTTCTTCAGACGATGTATCGAGTGTTGGGATAGTGTAGGTATTTTGCGAAGCAAGCTGGTTTACATAAGGTGGTTGGTAATTGTGTGTAAATATTGTAGAAGAAGGAGGGGTTGTTAGTTCTGTGTCAATATGCAAGGGGATGAAACTGGAGTTGAGGAAAGAGAGAGAGAGAGAGAGAGGAGTTGTGCGACGACGTTTCGTGCAAGGCTTTTGCTTTTATTCGAAGGAACTGTCTCTTCGTTGTATATAGAATGCACAGGGTGTTGAGAAAAATATGGTACCTGGTGGGCGGAGTGTGATTCTGAGTGAGAAATTAAATAGAGGGGTTGGACCATCCTTCGCAATGAAATGTAAAAGTTTCTTTAAAGTATACATGGAAAAATTGAAATTGAAATTACCACGATAATCGTTATTCGTTCACTTTTCAATCTGAATTAATTGGATATTCATATTTTAAAAGCTAAATGTAAAATGGAAATTGTTTTATGTCAAATTGCTATCTTTTACCGTGGAATTGAAAAAGTGTCTAACAAATTGTTCAAATTATTCTAATAATTTTTATATGCTAGTATCTTGGAAGTTATTCAATCTAATATGGATTATTATAATTTCCGAGTCGATCTAATCTACCTGTTGTGTTATCGTCGATTTGTTTACTCGTGCATGTATGTAGGTTGTGCGTTTTTCTGTTCTTGATGATTCTCGTCTAGCGAAACGTAATTAGTGCAAGATTTAATGATGCAACGGTCTCTTGCACCTTAGCATTTTCGTTCAGCATTGTAGAACGGTGACGAGAAAAATGCGGTCATGGATAAACTAGGTTGATCCGTATGATCTCGTATCCTTTGGCTTTTTAAGTAATTACGTTGCATCGTAATATGTAGAATGGAAAGTAGGCTTCGAGGGGGGGAAAATAGAGAAAATGTGAAATAATCTGGGACGTATATACATTGTTTTTCTAGATTCGGTCTAATGAAATTCGAATACTAAGTGAATCAACAATGTTACTCTTAAATGGACGAGAAAATACTGAAGCAGACAGTGAGCATCTTTCACACAGGCATCACTTAAATCACTAATACTTAAACTGTACCATATTAAAACAGATATTTCAGGAAAGAATTATTTAAAAAATTTAAAACACACATTCAAAGAAAGAGTTATTTGAAAAATTCTTGTATTATTTTAATTAAGAGTTATTTTAATAATTATCATACAACGTGTGAAGAATTAACATTTGCCTAGTTATACCAATGATCTACAATTAATATCAGAAATTTAATAACAGTTCACCTGAAATCGACAGATTTTACTATTCGATCTTTTGTTAGGCTAACTTTTGCAATCTGCTAACTTTACTCTTCCAATTCTCACGTTTCCTCAGACAGCACGGTGATTCGAAATTTTCTGCTAAAAGTGTACGAAGGAAAGTTCGAAACGACACCGATGCTACAATCGGAATAAAAAGTTGGAGAAACACCGGATGATAACAAAAAGACATTCGAACCCAGTTGAGAAGCATCGATAAACACGGAAACCCGCGAAATTTCGTTCAATTCCGGATATCTCTACGTACGAACATCTAAGCGTGTACGCGAAACAGAAAGCCTCTGCAAGCTCAGAGACAATAAGACGAGGGGAGCAAAGGGTTGGGACGGCTGGAGAGCATAAAGGGGCGCGAACACGCTCGAGGTCACCGGAAGTACAAGAATTCCGGGGCGGAAGAAGGAAAGTGGGCGGATGAGAATTTTCGCTAAAGAACGAACGGAGGAAAATAGGAGAGAAAAACTAGCACGAACCTGCCTCTTTGTCTCTGCATATACGTGTGTATATGCTCACCTGTGTACATATAAGGGTGCTTCAAAAGCGTAGGTGCAAACTGCACATGCTGGTAGAGAACTGAGTGAAAGAAACAAAAAGGCCTCGATGAACATGTGTCTAACAATTAATCGTTTCACAGATCATTCAGATTCTGAGTTTCGCAAGCTTTTGTTCCATTAGGTATTTTTTACGTTCCAGAAAGCACTTTTCGTGGCAAAGCATTGTTAGAGGAGAAAAGGATACGCGAGATAAAGTTCATAAGAGTTACTGAGTTATAATCAAGCAACAGTAACGTATTACTTCTTTGTTACTTATCTTTTGTTACCACGAACGATGGCATCTAGTAGAAAGCGATTTTTATTATAACAAATCGTTTGAAGATAGGTGAAGTTTGAGAATTCTTTTTAGAGGCAAGTACTAAATGAGAAGTTTCAATTCTTTCAGGGAATATGAATGTAACCTTCAGCTTCTTTCTACAATTTTTAAAAAGTAAACATGTTAGAAAATGGAGGAGATCTAACTCTTCTGCTAGAACATTGAGTACTATTTTTCAAAAATTGTAATTATTATATTATAGAAATGGTGGCAGTGTGAAGAAGGGAAACCTCTTTCTACCAAAAAAATCAATTTTGAACGATTTTGAAAAATTAAATAATCGACATATCGAAAAAATCTTACGCTACACTGCAAGTAATACATTTTTATTTATAAATCCAAAAGAATTTTTTATTTCAGCACAAGAGGTTTCACAATAACTCCTACATTTTGTAACACGTTTATTTTTTAAAAATTCGAGAAGGAAGCCGAAAGATGTATCTACATTCTCTGAAAAAATTGAAACTTTTCGTTCAGCAATTACCCATAGAAAAAATTCCCAAACTTTTACCTACTTTTGGACACCACTTAAGGGTGGTGTACACCCTTAAAATTTAGCATACCCCAAATTGATCGGGTTTCTTTCAACGAGCTTCACTAACCTGTACAATTCGTACCCGTGCCTTTCAAGCACCCTGTATACATGTATTTGCGTGGTTGACACGGACGTATGCACGTGCATATGTGTGTGTGTGGAACGTCTGAGTGGTTATGCGTGATCGAAATGAAAGAAAAAGGACAGAGGGAAATGGGATGGTGAGAAATCGCTCAGAAAAATGTACATCGCTGTGAAGCAGAAGTGAGAACATCGGGATGAAAGGTTTGAGTATAAAGGACACGCGGATAGAGCTGTCGGGGATCTCGTTCGGGGGACGCGTTTCGATTTGTTCGAATCCTCGCCAGAGACGCGACCAGATTAATCAAAAATACCGTCCCTGTCACAGGCACACCTCGTGTGTGCCATCTTTCGCGAATTATTTATGTCTATGATTTAGTAATGCGGCTTTCACAGGGTTCCGGGAAAATTTCAATATCGTACGTCGAACAGATGAATTAATATAGAGTGATTTTTAATTGCGCAACGGAAAATGGTCATTCTATTTTTGCGAATTAAAGGAGATATTGGAAATCTTCATTTTAGAAATTTGAGGAAAAGTAGGTTAACTTTAATCGCCGAAGATTGAAATATGTCGAAATTTGCGTATTCCGTATATCGAGGGCATTTATTTACAGAAACGAGAGAAAAATAAAAATGCGAAATGTTGACGTAAAACTAAAAGTTATACATTTGCAAAAACTCGAACTCAAATCTATAATTGGATTGATATAAATTCCCGAAAAGTACACTTGTTTTCAACGTTAGTAATACAACTTGTGTACGCACGAGGGTTGTCCGTGACACATATCTCGACAAAAATCCTCCGTCGGCCAATCTTCGTCGACCTTAAATACCTCGGTGTCGAAAGCACGCACACGCGTTTCTCTATCGAAGGAACACATTCGTACTAAAAATCAAACGAAGGACAAAAAAATTCCAATTTCCAATTCATTCAGATTCCCCATGAATATTTTACAAAACAAACCCACTCGAACACCTTCGCTTCTCACCGGTCAGCTTCTCTCGGCCAGGTAAACGCACGATCGAAATCGAAAGAGAGAAAGAGGCGCTTCGGACGAAAAATCAAGTCTGAAGAAAATTCGAAAAGTAAGAAACGAAAGAGAAAGAGAAAGAAGTACGAAACACATAGCAATCTGGACATTTTTCTGAGCGTACCAAATGGCGTGACGCGAATGAATACAGGGTGTCCCGTAACTCCTCGAACACCCGGAAATGGGGGGTTGCTGGGGTGACTCTGAACAACTCTTTCCTTTACCAAAATGTTGTTTGAAGCTTCATTTTTGAATTATTAACGAAAAACACTGGCCAATCAGGGCGCGCGTAGAGCCCGCGCTCAGAGACGGAGAACAGAGGCTCATTCTAGCGCGATTCCGACTAATTGCAATTTTTTCAAAAATTTATACAAACGTGGGAATGATGGCAAAAAACCATTTCTCTAAGCCTTATAAAAATAGCGGTGCAAAGTGAAAATTTTTTGACAGCGATCGATAACCGAGAAGTCACGCGTACGCATTTGTTCACGATCGCGCGCGGATGAGAGTCAGCGCTCCCGTGCCTGGACGCGGGCTCTACGCGCGCTCTGATTGGCCAGTGTTTTTCGTTAATAATTCAAAAATGAAGCTTCAAACAACATTTTGGTAAAGGAAAAAGTTGTTCAGAGTCGCCCCAGCAACCCCCCATTTCCGGGTGTTCGAGGAGTTACGGGACACCCTGTATATCGGTATCTGTGGTGTGAACGAGGGTGGTATAGGGGAGAACGGGGTGCAACTATTGGAGCAGGCTGAACGTGAGAGGAAGGCTAAAAACGAACGAACGAAAGTAAGGAAAGAAAGAAAGAGAGAAGAGAACAAGGGTGGAAATAATATATATAGAGAGAGGGATAAGAAAAGTAAAGTAAATGAGAGAGAGAGCGAGAGAGAGAGAGAGAAAGAGGAGAAAGGCTCCGGCGAGGGCCGCTCGTCCATGAACCGAGGACACTGATCACATCCTCCTTGGACTGATCGGCTCTTTTTCTCGCTTCCTGATCCGCAGGTACGTCTTCACGATAGTCAGCTACCTCATCGGTGTCTTCATATTTGCGACAATCGTCGGCCAAGTCGGGAACGTGATCACAAATCGAAACGCGAATCGTCTGGAGTTCGAGAGGCTATTGGACGGCGCAAAGACGTATATGAGACACCATAAAGTGCCGGGAGGGATGAAAAGACGCGTGCTCAGGTGGTACGATTACAGCTGGTCCAGGGGAAGGATACAGGGTGGCGGTGACATCAACACAGCCCTCGGTCTACTTCCGGACAAGCTGAAGACTGAGCTGGCGCTCCACGTGAATCTGTCGGTGCTGAAGAAGGTCACCATCTTCCAGGTGAGTTCTTCTTCGATTCTGTTTTAAGGTGGCTCGTCGTGTTCCGTGAATGAACTGTTTCGTGGTATTTTAGTCGAGGTACTTTTAACCCTTTGCAGTCGAGCGAAGGACTGAGAAGCGACATTGAATAATTGTCATTTGGTAAATAATTAACCCTTTCATTACTATAGGCGCCTGAAGGCGTTTTGATAATTTGCTCGCACTGTACTGTTGAAGCCTTTTGACACACTTTTCATCCTTTACGCACTGCCACCTTGATCGATTGAACCGAATTTTAAGACGACACGACAAAATAAGAAATTTTGCAGCGGTGGTTAAAAATTTACCGTCAGTCACCCACGTTACGCGTTAAAATCTGCCGTAGCGAAAGGGTTAATGAAAACAGAGAGCAGATCTATGGGTTTGTTCTCCATAGTGAAATAGAGAATACGTTGAATATTGCAATAAAATCGCATAGTTTATTTTTACGTTAGTTTTCAAAAATCTCAAAGATCCGATTTGCAACCTTCTCTATAGCAAAATGACCTGCGAGTGCAAAGGGTTAACACGTTTGCTACAAAACTCCCACCACAGACCATGCTTTACGGCACTCAGGATTAATAAGGAAGTCGTAGTAGTTCGTAGGTATATGTGTACATACGAGAAATTCTTTAAAGAAGAATCATTTGGAATTTCGAATTAGAACTTTGGTGTACGAGTAAAAGAATTTTAAAAATTCGTTAAATGTGAATATACTTGAGTATATAATTATGAGATTTCATGTGATAAATCTTGGTATAAAAGGGACCACTTTCGTTGTTAAATAGCACAGTCGATTTTTATTAATATAAGTATAAATAAATTTCGAGATCGTTGAAATTTTGATATTTTACTACTTCATTTAGCTGGTTCTCAATTTATTCAACCGATGACTTGAATAAATAATTCCTCGATCATACGACGCTTATCGGTATGACTTTTAACTTCGAGGGTAGTATTTTTAATCAAAACGTTGAACTATAGCGGGAAAGGAACGCGATGATTGCGCGATTTATTGGTAAATTCCACGGTTTATCTTGGAAATAGTAGAAATAATTCTACAACATATAAAAACGAATGCCAGCAAAACTATTGATTTATATACGATATTCCATATTTGCTTTTGCTATTTGCCTTATTATTAGGCAAATGTGTAATTAAGTTTCAAAAATCGAACTCAACGTTCGTCGTATTTAGAAAATAATAAAAGAAACACACCAACAAATTTTTACAACTTCTTCGCTAATTCGAGAAGAAATCTTCTCTTATCTTAATTAATCGTGCTGCAGAAACTTAGCTACGGCAGTTTTATTAAATAACCGATACAAAAGCTTTAAGAGAAAAACAAAAAAAAAAAGAAAGAAAGATGTTGAAATGTTCGTTTTTCTCCCTCTTGGATGAAATCGACTGAAAAATCATTCGAAATGGTTTAGAAGCTGGATAAATAGGGCTTTCGTGCCTTTTTACGAAAGATACATCAGCAGCCTCTCACAAATCGTCCCGATGATATAGCTCGTTCGATCACAGAAAGACGAAGACGAAATAAGAGGATATTTCAGCTCGATAGAGCTGTATATATCTCTTACCTCTTTGTTCCCATTTCACTTTCTGCCTTTCTTTCCTGCACTCCCTTGCCACCGTATTGACAATACGATGAAATGGTCGATACAAACGGTGTGTGACATATAGCTCAGTTTATATTATACATATATGCACGCATACGTATGAGGCTCTATGAAACCGCGAAAGAGATTTATTTCATGTTTAAATTAAGGGGCGAAATATTATTTTCGTTGTACTGATAAGGATACATTTTGGGCATTTAATGTAGTAATACAGACATTGTGTAAAAAAAAGAAAAATAACGATGGGTGGAATATTGTGTATTAACCGTTGGAATGTAAAGTGGTAAATATAAATCTTTATATTGTGAATTCTAATACTGAAAATTGAAATTTGTTACATTGCACACTTGAGAGATATTATGAAAATAATAATACATTTTGGGAATTTAATATGATAATACAGATATTGTCAAAAAAGAGAAAGACAATGAAAGGTAGAATATGTATTAACCATTGGGATGTAAAGTGATAAGTATAGTGATCTAATATATATAAATATATTAATACAGTGATAAACATAGTGAAATAAGTGATCTCTATATTATGAATTCTAATACTGAAAATTGAAATGTGTTACATTGCACACTTGAGAGATATTATGATAATACAGATATTGTCAAAAAAGAGAAAGACAATGAAAGGTAGAATACTTTGTATTAACCATTGGGATGCAAAGTGATAAGTATAGTGATCTAATATATATAAATATATTAATACAGTGATAAACATAGTGAAATAAGTGATCTCTATATTATGAATTCTAATACTGAAAATGAAAATGTGTTATATTGCAACGTAAAATGATAAATAAGGATTTTTATATTACGAATTCGAATAACATCAATTGAAATATGTTATAACACTGTACGTTTATTTAAAGCGATTTTCAAAAGTCAAATCGAGAAAATCAAATTTAATCTGCATAAAATTACCCTAACAATATTTTCACGTATATTTGAAACCATGAAAAATGGACCGGCGCGTAACCAGAGATCTTGATATTCTGACATTTAATATTGCTCCGGTTTGTTTTTCGATGCCGTGGAATATCGATAAATATTTGTATTTAAAATAAATCATTCCGCGACGTGCTTCATTTGTTACAAAAAAAAAAAAGGATCGTCGGATAAATAGAAAATTTTGATTGTATTATTAGATTGTATTATTTCTGTTAAATTATCGCTGAACTACAATTATATCGGATATCTCATTATGTAAGATATTACGTAGCCATAATTGAGGGACCAGTTATTCGTCATCCTAACCTATTTATCTGTCTGGAATACCATTTCGGTCTAGATAAGATCGACGCTGAAATACGCGCAATCCGGAGACCTTATCGATCACCTTTAATGGCAATTCCAGTTCAATTCAGTATGTTCGAGCATGACTTCTCGCACGACTCCAGGGCAACTGGTCTCGTAATGGGTCTGCCCTCCAAAGTGCTTACAGTTGATGTTGAGATGATCAACCAACTACTATCCAAGTGGCTGTTCAGATCAACGTCAAAGATGTAGGCAAATATAGGATAATTATTATCGATAAACGCTTCGCTGTATATTGTTCTTTCCAGAACAATTCAAATTTGAAGGGTAACAATACAGTATCGCATTTTCTTCGAATAATTATTCGTTTAATCTTCTGGTTACTTAGCTACTTGAAGTAACTTCGATTGTTTAACTGTTTGACTATTCAGACTGTTGAATTACTAAAATTCAATTCGAATTCGAATTTTCAGTTGACTATCGTTCAAATTATCTAGAATTTTCTGAGAACTAATTAAGTATTTAATCTTCGCTACTATTTAGCTACTTGAAATGACTGTTCAATTATTTAACTATTAACTATTCAAGCAGTTGTATTACTAAATTTTAAGTATCATTAAATTTTGGAATTTACCGAACACCTCGCACTTTGAAATTAATTAATATCGCGTTGATTAATAACATTATTTACCACTCACTTAATGCAAACTTCATGCATTCAATTTTCCACGTAATTTTATTAATATAACCGCTAAGGTATTCTAGTCGAACTATAAATAATTATAAAATGTAATATCGTAAAAGACGTTCTCTTACGTATATTCAGTATTTACCGTTAAACAGGGCTCACTTCCTGTGCGTTATTAGCAAACAATAGAAGATCATTTGACCTATTGTTACGTTTTATGGTAAGCAAGCAATGACGAGATCGAACCTCTGACAATCTGCTCGCGCTTTTACAATAAACAAGAGTTTACGATATGAAACCAGTATATAACTTAAATCTTCAGTTAACAATATCGAAAGAAATTCTTCAACATTCCCTCGAAATTTTATTAAATGTACAAATTAATTCGGTACCTTTGCCTGACAAACTTCAATATTCATTTGCAAAGAAATCAAACACAATTTTAATGTTCAAAATAATCTCCGCTATTTTAGGTGAACTTCTTCCATTTATCTGGTAACTCACGAATTTCCTCCCTAAAGCAATATGGCGGTTGTGAATCGATAAAGTCAAGACTTTGCGAAAAAAAGGCACCGAATTAATCTGTGAAAAATACAAAAAGAGTTATTTGTGCCATAAAACACGATTTTATCAAACAACGTTAAATTTCCATAAAATACCCCTTAATATTTCCACGAACATAACCTAACCTAATACCACGAACGAACTCTTAATCCTAACACTCTAACACTTCTTAATTACTTTACACTTTTACACCTCTGTACTTTTTTCCCCTTAAACTAGCAGCTGCTAAATTTCATCTGTCGTAAAGCTGTAAAGGTTTTAATCCGACCCGGCAATGCAGCTCTGAATTTTTACCTCGTTCTTCTCGCGCTGAAAAAAAAAAAAAATAAAAAAGCGAGAGAAAGAAGAAAAAAAAATGGCGAAAATGCAAAAGCCTACACGTACACCATGGCTGGTCTTTTTCATCAGAAATACGGACCACATTTTCAGTAAATGATTTTCACAGGATCACGCGGAATATAGAACGACAATGCACCAAGCGCGGGATAAAAATTTCATTTTATCGTCCGGACTATTTCCCTCCCTCTCTCTCTCTTTTTCTCGTCATAGTATTTTATGGTACAGCTGGTACGAATCGACACGGAGGAATGTCACGTACGAATAATCATGAAAGAATTATTCGAGAATTATACTATCCGAAGAAACGACGTTCCATCGTAAAAAAAAAAAAAAAAAAAAAAAACGAAAAGGGAGGTAAGTGGGAAAGAAGGGTAGTTTTAATCCAGGATTCTGCAAATGTCGCGATAAAAATCGACGTAACCAGCAGACGCAAATTGAAAGACTGTGTTCCAGGTGTCGCGATATATTGAAGTATAAGATGTCAATTACTCGTAAATCCGG